AAAAAAAAAAAAAAGGAAGGTAAAGAAAGAGAACATAGGAAAAGTAGAAAACATCTTAATGTGTAGTGGGCCAGATAGAATGGCCTATTGTAACCACATCTGCGAATATTTAATATGGCAGTGTATATGGAACTTGCATGTATATGGTAGCATCTTAAACTTTGCAATATTTTGTACCACTTGTTGGCAGACTTGTTCTGCCAAGGGCCACATAGTAAATGTTTTAGGCTTTGTGGGCCGTGGAGTGTTCATAGAACGACTCACCTCCACTGTTAAAACAGTGTGAACCAGTCATACACAGTGTGTAAATGGCTGAGCGCAGCTGCTTTACAATAAAAGTATTTACAAAATCAAGTGGCCAGCCAGATAACAAAGGTTTTTGAATAAAGACAGCTCCTTCTATGATACCTGGCAGACCAATGCCTAGTCCTGAGTTAGAACTCTCTTCTCTTGGGAGGTGTTGCAGATAGCCTAGCCAGCTACATAATGTGTCACCCAGGAGAATATTTACAGACTGATAGAGCATGGCTTGTTCCAGGAACGCAAGGATGGCCAGTAGTAGAAAATCTGTTATGTAATTAATCACATTAGTGGATAAATAATCCATATGAGCACATCATCGGATACCAAACAGCATTTTATACACTTTAATATACAAAAGTATCCCATATGGGTTAACTTAAATATGAAAAATTAAAACCCTAGTTAACTAAAACTAAAATTAATGGTTATTTCTATATTCTTATGGTCAGGAAGGCCTCTCTAAGCATAACTCCCAAGACCAAATATCTTAACAGAAAAAAATTGCAGATATGATAGGCAAAATAGAATTTTTGCGAGGCAAAAGATAGTACAATAAAAGTTAAAGAAAAAATTGTGTGCACTTAGATGTATCAAGAAAAGTCATGGGGGTGTCTGTCTGGCTCAGTCGGTGTAGCACATGACTCTTAAATTTCAGGGTTGTGAGTTCAGTCCTCATGTTGGATATAGAGATTACTTAAAAATCTTTTTTAAAAAGTCATGAAAAATACACTCTAAAGTGTTAATTTAGGGGCACCTGAGTGGCTCAGTCAGTTAAGTGTCCGACTTCGGCTCAGATCATGATCTCGCGGTCTGTGAGTTCAAGCCCCGCGTCAGGCTCTGTGCTGACAGCTAGGAGCCTGGAGCCTGCTTCTGATCCTGTATCTCCCTCTCTCTCTTCCCCTCCCCCACTCACACTCTATCTCTAAAAATAAATGAACATTAAAAAATAATAAAGTGTTAGATTATAGGTAACCTTTCTTATGTACTGTTTAATTTTTAAGAATCATGTATAACTTATAACCAACAAAAGTAAAGATGTTTCCATTTGGGCCAGAATAATAGGGAAGGATAAAGTGTTACTCTTTGTCTAGGCAAGAAGGTATTTAACACAGGGGAGAAATTTCTTGAGAGGTTTCAAATGAGTTTTAGTACAGATTTGTACAGATACCATGTTTAACAGCTTAATGACTTGGTAGTATTTACTATTATAGCTTTTAAAACCTGTGACAAGGGGCGCCTGGGTGGCGCAGTCGGTTAAGCGTCCGACTTCAGCCAGGTCACGATCTCGCGGTCTGTGAGTTTGAGCCCCG